GAATGATGACTTTCTGATTTCTCTCATAACACTAGCTCTAAACACACTTTCCAGAAAACAAATGTTCAGGGGTTCTAGGCGTGTATTTCATCCTTCAGTATACAATACTTGGACACTGACTAGATTTCAGGAAAATGAAGTATTCTAGGCTTCTCAGTTTTTGGCAAAATTTAAAAGATAAAAACATCACAAATATCTGTCAATTTTGACTGATATCAGATAAACTTTTTAAGAGACATTATTTTATCCCCTTGGTCAACAACATATATTGAGTGCTGTCTGACTTAATGGTTATGTTTAACTGTAATTCATCATGCAGGCTGCTAACTTATACCTGCAGTTTCTCAAAGCTGCCCTGCTGCTTTCGCTGATAAGCTCTCATAACATAACCGTCACGGCCTGAGATTTCAGAACTTTACTTCGTATCAGATGTCACCACTGCTAGTCTCTGTTTTGACTGATTTTCTGTTCTCTAAACATTGCAGATCTGCCTCCCAGGACTGCTGCCCTCTGAAGCACCGCACTGCCCTCACTTTCCTTCCTCCCCCTGATCCTTTCAAAACTAGATCAGCTTTGGAACCAGGAGGCATTGGCTTCATCGTTTGGTGAGCTGACCCCTTTTCCTGGTTAGCGAACTGACCAAACACACCATTCATGCTTTCTGTAGGTGCTCCTTCAGTCATCCATGACTGGCTGCTTTCAGAGTATTTTCTGGGTTCGCAAAGACATGTGAGCACCATATAACACAGATGTGATTATGTCCAGCCCGATCATTAAATGAAGAACATGTTTTAAATAATCACATAATATGGGTACCATGTCTCAATCCAAGAGGCTCAGCATAGATTCTGATCATTTTTGGTCACATTCATTCGTTTTATTTGGCATCCCCAAAGTGGTGAGATACAGATTATGATGGGACTTGAAAAATAATGTATGTATGGTATTTCTGCCTACAAACCACAATGTAAACTGAATGGGTAAGCGAGGATCAGCCTGGACTCTGAGTGAGGTTCTATACCCATCTGTGCTCAGCAAAAACAAACTGCACCTGATGCCTAGTTAGCAAAAATGCATTTTTTATTTACCAGATACATGGACGTTTCTTAGCAAGAATTTATTGCTTTTTAATATTTCATATTAACAAGATCAGAGGCTTAACAAATGACTTTTTCCTCAGCTACTGCATATTAAAATAGAATCAAAACTTACCAATTCTTCATTTAGCACAAAACTAAATAGAGCTATAAACCCTACTTCCTTTACATAGCGATAGTCTTTCTTTAACTGAATTAAAATATCTGTAGTTAAGCAGATTGTCCAAGGTAAATTTCCTATGAAGTTTTTTTTCTTTTTTTGAGAGAATTTTTGCTATAGGGTACATGCGCTCACTGGGGAGAAGGAGAGAGAGAGAGAGCGAGAGAGAGAATGAGAAAGCATCCCACAGGAGATGGCCCTGCCACAATCCGTTTCCTTCATTCTCCTCTCGGAACTTTGGACATGCATGGACACATGCCCAGCCACTAGGTCCAGAACCTGAACCACAGTCAGCCATATGGGAGTTCAGTGCCACAACCACTACACTACCTGTTGGCCCCGAATTTATTCTTTTTAAAAAATCTGTATGAAAAATTAATAAGTAAAACTTAGGAAATAACTCTAAAAACTAGAAAAGGAATGCTGTGAAAACGGTAATATTTAGTATTGAAACAGAGAGGTAAATTTGTCTTTGAAATCGGAAGTTTATGAGGAAAACTGGTAGAAAGAAGCTTAATAAATGGCAAGAACAGAAAGAGAAAATGCTGATGAGGTCAGTGAACAAAGTGTGGAATGCAACAGAGTATCCGGCAGGAAGGTGTCAAGTTCCAGGAGAAGCCATGGAAACCTGGCACACTTTCCAGTAAGTACGGAAGACGAAACTGAATTATCCCCAGGACTTAATGTGCAAGGACATTAAGAGGTGTGACAAGGAGGACCAGCAGATGGCATAATGGTTATGACACTGGACTCCCATATGGCTGACCACGGTTTGAGCCCCGGACCCAGTGGCTTAAAACTCATGCCAGGCATGTGTCCAGAATCCCTAGGAGGGGAATGGAGGAGAAGGGATGGCAGTGTGTCTATCACCCAATTTCTTGCTTTCTGTCTCTGGTAAATCCACATGCCCTATACCTATACCAAAAATCTCCCTTAAAAAAAAAAACAAAAAAAAAAAAACCAAAGTATGACAGGGAAGAGCATAAATTGTCCCTCTACTGTCACTTGTCCTATTTCACAAGGTCTACTTTACAAGTAGGTCAAACACTTGAGATCCATGTTAAGGCCGGGTTGAAACAGTAACTTTATTTGGTCTTGAAACCTGAAATTTGGAGCTGGATGGTGGTACAGTGGTAAAATGTGATATTCTGTGAGGCAATCCCACATGGGAAGATTGCTAGTTCAAGTCTGGATACCTCCCTAGGAATAGCAGGCACATGTGCACCCATGATCTGGGGATGGCTGAAGGCTGAGGATAGAGGACGGCATCAAGACCCTGTGGGGTGACTCTCTTTTTCTCTCACTTATGAAAGAAATGGAAAAACTTAAAAAAATTTTAAGCCCTGAAATTCCTTTAACAGGTAAGGCAAATGTTCTATTTCAAATAGAGAAACAACAAACTGCTTCTACCTCTAAAGCAAGGGATTACAAATTATATTTTCGTGAGTAACATTTCATTGGAACACAGTCATTTTCATTTGTGAACATACTGCCTATGGCTGTTTTTGTGATCCAAGAGGAGAATTAACTCTGAGGCTGTCAGGAAAGTTGTAACATTTCTATGCAAAAACATGTCATGACTGTCCTGACAACCCAGTAGTTGGGAGACACTAACAGGTCTACAGAGCCTCAACTATTAGGTTGTTGGAAAAGTCATGATGCATTTTTGCATATAAAAACATGGAAAACTACGTTGTGACTTTTCCAACAACCTAATATATACTAGGCCCTTTAAAGAAAAAGACTTGCTCTAAGTTATGAACCGAACCTACCTTATTATAAGTATTAAACATAAAGGACCAAATCTTTGCCTGGTTTTCTTGGTGGGAGAGGGAGGGTGAAATGGACCTGAATTAGAAAGTTATAGTCTTAGGAAACTAAAGAAACAGTTCCAATTAAGCAGAAGTAAAGTGAAACTATTATGATTTTTTTCTGTTGTATAATCATTCAGGGCCACAGTTCAGTGAAAACTGCTTCAGGGAAGCATACTGCATGCTAAGACCGGCTCAATAATTAATAATCTGTTTTAACAAGGTAACTGCTTTTGTAATTTTCTTTTACTACAGCATCATTCAAACAATATTCATCATTCATAGTAAGAATTTTGACAATAATTTTCTCCTAAATAATGAAGCCAAACTCATGTTTTTCTTATCTTCTTAGGGCTCCCACAAACTGCCTAGCTCCCAGTGTGTACATGCCCAACCCTACATGTGTACATACACATGTGTGTATGCTGACTTTAGAGAAGAGGAGAAAGTGAAGTAGAATTCAGAGATAAATAATCTTTCTGGGCTTCTTTCTTAAATGTATCTACGCACGGAGCTTATTTTTTGAAAAACATTTAAATTTTTTTATTATGCAGTGTCAGTATAGAAGGAAATGGATTTTCACATACTAGACCTTAATCCTTAAATCTATGGCCCATAGTCTTCAAAACTGGGAACCGAGATGATCACATAAGAGCAAATAAGTCACAAAAATAGAAAGGCGGAAAGCATTGTGAAGATTCTTTTTAAAGTCAAGAAAGTTTGCTATCATGGGAACCAGCAGTTAGCGTAATGGCTATATCGCTGGACTCCCACATAGTCGACCGGCAGTTCGCGTCCCGGACCCGGTTGCTTAAAACTAACGCCGGGTGCATGTGCATGCGTGCCCAAGATCCTGAGAGGAGAATGGAGGAGAAGAGATTGCGGTGTGGCCATCCCCCCGGGGGGTGATTTCTCACTTTCTGTCTCTCTGTCTCTGTCTGGCGAGCGCACGCGCCCTATAGCAAAAACCTCTCCAAAAAAAAAGAAAGTTTGCTATCTTGATCTTTAAAGATTATATGTGTGTGGGTGTGTGGGTGTGTAAAAACACACATACATATAAAGTTTTAACATTAGGAAGTTTTGAAATGCATATCAAAAGTTGTTGAAAATACTCACTTTTTTATAGTAGTATAAACACTTAGAAATCCAAAAACCCTAATGGCCAGAATCATAATATGCAAATCATAAAGCAGCTTCATTTGAAATGTTTTTCCAACCATTTCAAGCCATAGTCTGAATTTCTATGACTAGCACTGACATTGCTTTATTTTTACATACTTAAAAATGTTAAAGTCTAAAAGACTGAAAATACCAAAACAACGAATTTAAAAGTGGAATAAATAAGAGATAGTTTTCTAAAATGCTAATCATTGTGTTAAATCGAAAATATGGCTTGATTAAAGGACATTTCTCAATTTGTATAAGTGCCAAACAAAATGAAACTGGCCCACTGGACCCCAACCCCTCCAAAACAACACAAAGCAAGCTGAATTGTGAAAGCCTATTTCTAAAGCTAATATCTTGCCTGCAAGGCTGGGAGGGCTATGAGAGCTGATGGCTGAAAGAGCTTTGGAAAAGCCCACACATTCCATGGAGAATACCACTACCTGGTGGGGGCTAGGCACAGCAAAGTGCCTTCCTGCCAAAGGAAGAAGAGAGAGTCTGTGTTCGGGATAGAACAAAAACCAACGTAACAGTGTATTTCAAAGCAAACGAAATTTCTATAGTAAAAGAATTAATATAATTACATCAGACATTTCCAGTCACTGGTGCAAGAATATTATAAACACTGAAAACAGCACCAGAAGCTTTAATACTGCATTTTCACCATAAAACTGTTCACAAAAAAGGAGTACGACCAGAACTTTCTAGGACTAAATTAAAATATAATTACATTTGGGGGAAAAAAAAGGGTAAAGAATTGCCACTCACCAGGTACAGCTTTTGAGTGCGTCTGTTCTTTGCTGGGAACATGCGCACCTCCACCAAATACAGCTGACCACATTTTTTCATTTAGAGGATGGGCCACAATCCGGAAGAGTTCATTACTAGAATGTGTTGCCAGGCCATGGATGAAGAGACTAAGATACACCGCTGTGAGAATCTCACAGAGCAAGACTGTAAGCCCTGACTGGGCTTCCTCGCCAGAAGAATTCAAAAGTCGAGTTAGACAAGTTATCCCTAAAACAAGAAATAAACATAACTGCTATTGACAATATATCTTTAAAGTTAACTATATTTTTTTAATTTTCAAAAAACATTTATTATATCAGGATGAAATATTTTCTTCCCTAGAGCCACAGACTAGTTGAGGCTTACTACGGCTACTACATAAACATTGAGCTATTTCTTCCATTTAGATAAACACTAAAAATCTGTAATCTGACTCAAATTATAGTTAAAATTTTAATAACATAATTTTTTTCTTTTTTTTAAAGGTTTTTGGCAAAGGGTGTGTGCACTTGCTGGATAGAGAAAGAGAGACAGAGAGACAAAAAGAAGGGAAGTGAAAAATTGCCCCCAGGGGGATGGCCATGCCTCAATCCCTTCTCCTCCATCCTCCTCTCAGGACTTGGGCAAGCATGCTCATGTGCCGGCTTGACTCACAAGCCACTAGTCTGGGACTTGAGGCATGGTTGGCCTGTGTGTGCCTAGTGCCTTAACCACCGCACCGCCTGCTGGCTCCCATAATTTCTTTTTATTATGACAAAAAGTCAAATTATTTTTTAAATGATATAATAAAACTTCTTTTTTAAAAACTTTTGCTATAGGGTGCACACACTCACCAGACATTTCGTTATATACATGTAAGGATCAAAGTAGTTCAGTAAACTGCAAAATTCCATGTAAGTGATGAATATTGAACTGGTATTACTTTGAGGAGTATTTAACAATGATTATCATATGGCAAGACCAAACCAAATTTTTTTTTTCTATTTGCTATAGGGCGCATGTGTTCGCTAGAGAGAGAGAGAGGGAGAGAGGAAGAGAAGAAAGCACCCCACTCCTTTCTCCTCCATTCTTTTATAAGCACTTTGGACACGTACGCATACACACCAGTGTTTTTCAAGCAGCTGGGTCTGGGACTTGAACAGAGAAGTCAGCTGTATGGGATCCAGTAGCCTTAACCACCATGCCATTTACTGGCCCCCAAATCAGCTTTTTAATCAACTGTCCAATATTTTCAAAAGGGCAAAAACAAAACAAACTTTATATACATACACACACACATATATATACATATACATATATATATAATTTACATACCTGGCCACTGAGCTGGTGATGTATTAGGAGTTATCGCCTCATCTAAGCTTCCTGTTTTCAAAGAATGTCGATGGGGAAGCAGTACTGTCTGATACACCATTCCAGTAAATTGATTGGTTTGCAATGAACTAAGAGAAGAAAATGATATTTAAATCTAGGATGAATTTCATGTGTAATATTTTTCACATTTTATATCTAATTTCTAAGGTACTTTAAATATAAAATTTTGTTTATTATTATACTGCTATTATAACTAAGTAGTATACTCTAAAGTTTAGAAGCTAATTAATTCTGTAAATATACAGAGTTACTAGAGTAATACACATACGATAGCTGTGACCATATTTAGTGAGAGATAGAACAGGTTCAGATGAGAAAACAAAATCACCATGGACCATGAGCAGCAAACTGACACCATGGACTTCAAAACAAGACTATTTGTTTGGGAAATAAAGTTTAGGTTCAGTTTTCTATTTACTGACTAGCCTACTTTCTATCAGGCACTGCACCAAGGATTAGACATATGATGAAAAACAGGGTTTCTGTCCCCATGAAATCTATACTCAGGTAGGGGAATTAGACACAAATGATTATCACATTGCTATAAGAGATGAAACCTAAGTATCCAGTGCTATGAAGGCAAAAGATGGCAGTGTTTCGTACAAGTTGAGAATTTTGGACAAGCATCCACAAATAAATGATCCTTGAGGCTAAGACTTAGTAAGAGTTGAATGAACAAAATAACTTGCAGTTTGACATAAACTATGAAATAATTCTGACAGAAAGCAGTATAAAAATTTTGTTAAATCCTTCAGAAATTCCTATGTCAAACATTAAGAAAATGATTTTATTTTTTATTTTTTCATTAAAAACTTTTTTTTGATTTCTTGCCATAGAATGTGTGTGCTCTTCCACGCCATTTCAGTCGGCCAATATAATTTTCTTTTTGAAAGATTTTAGCTATGGGACATTTGCGCTCAGCGGAGAGACAGAGACCGACAGAGAAACAGAAATGAGAAATGACCCCCCCCGCCCCAGGTTTTTCTTTTTTTTTTTTTTCAAGATGGCAGAGTAACAAACCAAAAAAAAATCTCTCCTGTCATAGTAAGCCCTTAGAAATGTATGATAGGAAAGATTAAAATATACTGATGAAAGTAAAGCCACATTTATTAACAAAAACATGAACTGTCAGAGGACCAGGGTCAAAAAAATCAAATAAGTATATTGGGAATATAAAATTAGAATGGTTAAGTGGGACTAGCAATGGAGAATCTAAATACTTACAATGAAGACAACCAAAATCAGCACCAAGAAAGGTTGACAATATGTAGTCATACGTAGTCAGACACATATTGTAGACAATATGTATCTGAAATGGTAGACTTATCAGAACATTAAAAAAAGTACTTTTACACAAAAGTTCTTAAAAATTAATAAAAGTGACTATCAAAATCAGTAAGAGTGCTTTACAAATGAAAAACAGAATTTCTTTAAGATTTAATTTTATTTATTCATTTATTTATTTTAATTTTATCAGAGAGTGATACACAAAGAGAGAGAAAAAAAGAGAGAAGAAAAGTAAGAAAGTAAGTCACCAAGTCCAGGACTCAAACTGTGGTTGGCCATGTGTGAGCGCCTTAAATAAAGTTTAGGTTCAGTTTTCTATTTACTGACTAGCCTACTTTCTATCAGGCACTGCACCAAGGATTAGACATATGATGAAAAACAGGGTTTCTGTCCCCATGAAATCTATACTCAGGTAGGGGAATTAGACACAAATGATTATCACATTGCTATAAGAGATGAAACCTAAGTATCCAGTGCTATGAAGGCAAAAGATGGCAGTGTTTCGTACAAGTTGAGAATTTTGGACAAGCATCCACAAATAAATGATCCTTGAGGCTAAGACTTAGTAAGAGTTGAATGAACAAAATAACTTGCAGTTTGACATAAACTATGAAATAATTCTGACAGAAAGCAGTATAAAAATTTTGTTAAATCCTTCAGAAATTCCTATGTCAAACATTAAGAAAATGATTTTATTTTTTATTTTTTCATTAAAAACTTTTTTTTGATTTCTTGCCATAGAATGTGTGTGCTCTTCCACGCCATTTCAGTCGGCCAATATAATTTTCTTTTTGAAAGATTTTAGCTATGGGACATTTGCGCTCAGCGGAGAGACAGAGACCGACAGAGAAACAGAAATGAGAAATGACCCCCCCCGCCCCAGGTTTTTCTTTTTTTTTTTTTTTCAAGATGGCAGAGTAACAAACCAAAAAAAAATCTCTCCTGTCATAGTAAGCCCTTAGAAATGTATGATAGGAAAGATTAAAATATACTGATGAAAGTAAAGCCACATTTATTAACAAAAACATGAACTGTCAGAGGACCAGGGTCAAAAAAATCAAATAAGTATATTGGGAATATAAAATTAGAATGGTTAAGTGGGACTAGCAATGGAGAATCTAAATACTTACAATGAAGACAACCAAAATCAGCACCAAGAAAGGTTGACAATATGTAGTCATACGTAGTCAGACACATATTGTAGACAATATGTATCTGAAATGGTAGACTTATCAGAACATTAAAAAAAGTACTTTTACACAAAAGTTCTTAAAAATTAATAAAAGTGACTATCAAAATCAGTAAGAGTGCTTTACAAATGAAAAACAGAATTTCTTTAAGATTTAATTTTATTTATTCATTTATTTATTTTAATTTTATCAGAGAGTGATACACAAAGAGAGAGAAAAAAAGAGAGAAGAAAAGTAAGAAAGTAAGTCACCAAGTCCAGGACTCAAACTGTGGTTGGCCATGTGTGAGCGCCTTAACCACCATGCCACCTGCTGGTCCCGAAAAACAGAATTTCTAAAATACAAACTCTGGCTAAGTAAAAGGAAGGAAATTTCCAAAGAATGAATCAGAGTCCAGAAAATGAAACTAGAGTTTCTCCTGAAGTGAGGCAAAAAGAGATTAACACAAAGAACATATGAAAGGACAATTACAAGAAAAACAAGATGGACCCACAGGTTCTAATATCTGCCTAACAAGAAAAGAAATACAAAACAGATGACATGACATTTGAAGAAATGGTCAAGAGTACTTCAAACAACTGAAGACAGATATAGGAAGATCCCATAGAATCATAAAGTTTAAGTATTTTTAAAGCCTATACAGAATTACAGTGACACTTTAGAACATAAAGAAAAATCCTCAACGTCAATTCTGTAAAATTTCTCCCAATTCAGTCACTCCCTCTTCTGTGTTCCCTGAGTCTTTTGCTGTCTACCACATTACAGTATTTGTCAGTATTTGTCATTTAAGGGCCACACTAAGTCACATATCATGGATCAGTTCCTGTATGTCTCTAACTAGACTGACCTCAAGGAAGGAGAGAGCCTAACCTACTCGCTAAAATTCTCATTGCCTATCACAATGTCCAGCATAACCAGGGATCAATAACCGGCTGCCAAATAAGCCATATCAACAAGGGTTTACCTGAAATTCACTGCCATAAAGGCGTAGACTAAAATTTACAAGATGAAAAAAAAAAGTAGCCAACCCCTGAGGCATGTTTTCCACATTATTGACAGTAGACTACATTGAAAGGTTATAAAGCCATGGCATATCGAATGTGAACCCTCACTGGTTACTGCAAACACTCTTAAATTTCACAAAAGAGACGTTTACCTGTAGTTATGACTACCACAAAGGCACTGATAAATACAAGCAGAAAGTGAGGCTGCTAAAGTGTGCATTACATATACCTGGAAAAAAAAAAGAAACACAACAAATCACTTGAAGTATATATTTTTTATAGTATAGCTTTTTTTAGACCTAATAAAATCAACATAAAAAAACCCCACCCTTTTGCTTCCATAAGCACTTTTTTCTCTTTTCCCCTATAACACTCTTCTACCTAGAGAAGTTTCACTACAGATAATTTAAAGAAAAAACACTGAGGCTTTGGCTGAAAATATAAAACACACAGCTGCTGTCTGTTTTTCAACAGGCAAGGGAAATGGAGGCCAGCGATCCAGTCAAGTAGGAGTCACGTGTTCAAAGCAAGTCCCCTAACACATGATCTGCTTTTCTCTCAACCCAACTATGAATAAGCTCAGACTGATAAATGACAGTCCACCTATGGACACCTCATTAAAGAATATGTTGCTACATAATCTACTTACCCTAGAAAACAATTTGAAGACAATGAGAGACAGGAGAGAGAGAAGGTATTAAAAGAGAATAACTGAAAGGAAACAGTTTGTTTCAAGGACAGGAGAATCGACACAGAGCATGGCAAGAGATGCAGTAAGCAGGTCTGAGGACGAGGGCAAGTTCACGTGATGTAATAAAGTAGACTAAAACACGAGAAGATCGGGCTCTTAATCAGGTTATGAAGTACGACAGTCTTTTATAAAGATAAAACGGGCGGTGATAAGCTTAATGGCTATTTCTCCTTCAGCTGTCAGTAAGACATAGATGAATTAAAATCCAAGGTAACGCCACATAATTGAAGATGGCAAAGACCACATATCAGAGATTGCAAACTGCAGTTCAGAGTTGGAGTCTAATTCTCCACTCACTGAATCAGGGCCAGCCTTTGGATCTTGCTTGACCAGAGAGACACAACAGAAGTGACCTGTGAGTTCTGAACTCATGCCTGGCAAGGCCTTGCAAATTCTATTGGATCTCAGGGAAAGTCACGATGCATTTTTGCATAGAAAAATACATCGTGACTTTCCCAATGATATAACACTTTTGCTCCTCTTAAACTTCAGCAACTCTTGTGTGAGTACAAATGGATATGACTGGGCCATGGGGTACACAGACATTGGTTAGCTAGCACTCTGGTGGGTCTGTGGGGGAGTTTCTGGATGAGATAAACATTTGAAATGATTAAAGTGGACTGCCCTCTAAAGTGAGTGGGCATTACCCAGCAACTGAAGACTTAAGAGAACAAAAGGCTGAATAAGAGGGAATACTACCCAACTGCACTGAGCTGTGACATCAGTCTTTTTAGTTTTTGAACCTAACCAGGAACATCAACCCTTCTTAGGTCTCAAACCTGTAGACCTTTAAACCACGCTTACTCCATACACTCTCCAGTTCATGCCTTCTGACTCAGATAGAACTACATCATCAGCTCTCCTAGTCTTCAACTTGCCTGTCATAGATGTTGGAACGTCTCAATCTCCACAGTCATATGTAAGTTCCTTATGATAAATCTCTCTCTCTACACACACACTCCTACTGACTATTTCTCTGAAGAACCCAGACTAACACACAAGGCTCACCTGCTGGAGGATGAGCCTCATCTCACCCATCTTCTACTTTCAGTCCTGCCAATAAGCCTGCCAATCATCAAAAACGAGTGAGACCCATCACAGTTTATTCATAAGTCAGTCAACCCACCAGCTGCTAAAAGATAAATGAGAGAGTCTAGGAATCAGCCTGGCTGGCCCACACTGGAAGAACTAATAAGCCAGCCCACAGCATCGTAAGCAAATTAAATGTGATGGCTTTTTTAAAACTAGTAATATCTCAGGATCATTCTTTTGTTTTGTTTTGTTTTTAAAGAATTACTTAGTTATTTAATTTTACTTATTTTTAACTTGACCAGAGAGAGACAGAGAAAGAGAGGGAAAGGGAAAGTGAGAAAGCAAGCCGCTAGGTCTGGGACTCGAACCGTGGTCAGCCATGTGGGAGTCCAGCACCCTTAACCGCCATGCCACCTGCTGGACTCTCAGGGTTAATCTTAAGCGGCAAAAGCTAACTGATACATCATAGTTATCCTAGAAATAAAAGTTAAATATGGAATATAGTTTGGCTAAAATGAGTACAATCTTCTTTTGGAGATTAAATTCCAAACTGTATAATAAGCACAGTGGGTATTTATACTAAAGAGCAATAAAGGAAAGTGGCAAAATTGAACTTTAAGAATGAAGATTATCCAAGACAGTAAAATTGTGGGGAAAAAAGCCCACCATCAAGCAAACAGAAAATCAAACTTGTGATATGATAACCTGTGAGGTAGGTAAGAACCAAACAAGACTGTGAGGGTAAAAATCCCCAAAGAATGTACAAAAGCAGTCAAACTCGGCTATACTTTCCTAGACTGCAAACTGTCTGGAGAGTCAAGAGGAAATGTGAAATATGACTCTAATAGCAGATGAAGCCGAGTGAGGATGAGGGGCAGGCTGTCGGGGTTGGTTAGATACTTCAATATAATGATGTGATTAACTATACATTAGAGTCAGCTGAGGAACTTCTTTACACATATTCCTGGGACTCTCACAGGCTGATTCAGTAAGTCTGGAGTGAACTTAGGAATCCAAACTTTTAACAAACACTGCAGGTGAGGGG